CCTTAATAAACAGTCATGAGGGAAATGCTGAAATCTCAGCAACAGAAAAGGGGAGTAAGGTTGATCAAATGACATCCTAAAGCACTTGGGGGTCAAAAAAGACAATAGCTAAAGAAAGAATTATTCATTAAAAAAAAAAAAACTAGTTCTAAATTTCTAAAAAATACATAAGCAGGTTGAGGAGAAAGGAGTTAAAAGAACTACTTATATCTTTCACATACTTGGATTTCACCCTGACAAGTTGCAAAAAATAATATTTAGAGAATAGTAACTCTAAGAGAATAGTATTATTTGTTTTTTCAAGGAATGCTCTTACATGGTTGCAATCTCTAGCCTGAAAAAAAAAAACACAACTGAAAATGTTGACGTTTATAAAAGTACGGAAGGAGTAAATAAAGAGTATTCATTTTTAGAGAACTTTTTTTTTTTTTCCAGTAGCAAAACATTAGAACCTAAAGGTCCTTCCAGGCTGATAAAAACAATCTTAGCTTTTACGACTCAACTGAACTGAACTGAATTAAGGAGGCATTGTTTTAAATCTGAAATAGATTTAAAATTGTAACATTTGAGTCACTACACACAAAACCCTTGACATTTATGGATTTGTATTTGTGGCTTAAATATATGTGATGCATAAAATTTCCCCCTAAGCAAGATGATGACCATAATCCCTTGCTATTGTCATAATATAGCATTCAAAACATGTTGTAGTCAACATGCTAGGTTGACTACAAAATACAGCTTGGATTTTAAAATAATATATATATTAGTACCCTGCTATGTTGGCTAGTCTCTACACCCCAGTTGCCACAGCCTCTGGTAATAAAAGAACTTATGGAAAGGCACTTCTCTAGCCATTTGCCTTTTCAAAACTAAATCTACTAAGTGTAGAATATAAATGTCTTAACACAATAACTATGAAAACAAGGTGAAGGCTATGTTAACCAGTTTGATGAAAGTATCTCAAATTGTATATAAAACCAGAACATTGTACCCCATAATTGCATTAATGTACATAGCTATGATTTAACAAAAAAAAAAAGTAGGTATCTCCTGTCACCTATGCCTGTTAATGAGTCTCCATAACCAGTTCCCTGGAGGTGGCTAACTATTCTCTTCTGTTCTCCCACAGGAAGGGTTTACATTTACTCCTACAATAAACAACCACGGCTAACTGCTCTTTCTGACTTTTTCAGCTTCTTAGTAGTGCGGGTTTCTTTGCAAAGATATTATTATTCCAGAAGCTTTTGGCTCTTGAAACCTTGTCTTAAAGGGCTTGACTCTGTCCACAATAAATAGTCATCCTAAACAAAGCACGAACTTTGCTATTTCCCCATCATGTATCCATAACCTCTCAGGATACTCACATGGCATGGGTCACAGGCAGTTGTTGGGACCTTGCTCCTTGATGCTCAAACAGCTCTCATAGAGGTCGACATTTTTCCAGTAGCAAAACATTAGAACCTAAAGGTCCTTCCAGGCTGACAAAAACAATCTTAGCTTTTACGACTCAAAAATATCACAAATGGAAGAAGTGTAAACATGCAGTCCAGTGTCAATTTTTCTTTTTAAGAGCTAAAGTTAGGTTTCTTAGGTAAACTCTCATTTAGGCAAGTTATTGCTGGCTTATTTCCTAAATCTCAATTTACTCACCTTTAAGGAAGGATTGTTACAACACTTGAGGTTGAGGGTTTACTGCAAATGCAATATGCCCTTTGCATGGCACTCCTTCAATGAATGCAAATTCTTTTTGCTTCCAAAAATATAAGCAAAGACAAATTATGAAGACTTAATTCTTTAGGTAGTCAGTAGTTTGATCAAGGTAGAATCTCAGCAAAATGGTAGATCTTTAACACTTTATCAGAATAACACTGTAGCTACATTGAAAGCTGTATTTCCAATACCCTTTTCAAAGAGCTTTCCAAAGTTTTCTAACATAATGATTCTAATGTTTCCTTTCTCTCTCTTGTTCACCATTAGAATATATTCCCATCTCTGTTTGCTTCCTGTCAACGAGGCAATTTTCAAAGGGACTTAATATTTGTAATATTCATATATTAGGGAACTAAGATGTGATGTTCATTCCTCCCCCTTACTTTAATTTTTTAAATTGGTTTTTAGTAAATCGTGCGATATGCACAAAAGGGGTGAAATCTAGTGCTTATGCTCAGATTGTAATTTAAACTTATAGTAATTAGGAATAGCTGTGTAAGATTGCTGCCTGTTGTAATTTTGAACCAAAGGTGAACCAACTGACATAATAATCCTCCTCCGCAGTTCTTATACAATTTCAAGAATTGTTTTAATCTAAATCCTCGGGTACCTTAGGGCCCATAAAACTTTCACCTAAGTAAAATACAGTGACTGCTGCAGGCACTGTCATATATTAACAATATCCTGTCTTTGAAAAAATCACTGTCGCTTTGGGGAAAAAGAAAGTAGCATTATAAATATTTTATACTATTTTATTTAGTCTCCAAATAATCAGAAAAGTCATCAAACGATAACCCATATTGTTTCTGTATGGGGGACATGCTTGTAATCCTAGCATTTGGGAGACTCACACAGGAGGATCGCTTGACAAAAGGGACTTGAGATCCAGTCTCTACAAAGCCCAACCGACCAACCAACCAACCACCTAACCAGCCTGCGGGGAAGCGTGCGCCCGTAGTTACTGCTATTCCGGAGACTGAGACACAAAGATCGCTTGAACCCTGGAGTTGGATGGCGCAGTGAGCTATGTGACCAAACCACTGCACTCCAGCCCAGGCAACAGAGCAAGACCTCGTCTCAAAAAAAAAAAAAAAAGAAAAAAAAAAGTAGTAATAAACTCCTATGCTTAACTTCACTTTTTTTTTTTCAAGTTTCAAGAGCAAGTTTTTAAAGAGAGATACTTCAGTTGGCAAACATGCATTAAAGGGGCTCACTGCTTTAAGAGAGATGCCCCATTTCCTAAACATTTTCAAATAAGACTCCAGACACATTTTGGAAATAGACGCAGTGTCGCAGGTCTAAACCGCAGCGTTCCATTTTCCGCCCAGTGCTAACGCACGCCTCTCCGTGAATCTGACCTCAAAACTCACACGTGCGCTCACTGCACAAGAGTAGGAAGTAAATGATCTGCCAATATTCAAACGTCAACGTTGGCGCGCACTTTTCGGAGTCCACTTCACCTTCAGTAATAAGTTTAACCAGCTATTTAGTTTCCTCCAAACGCCCCCCTCAGGAGACCCTAAACGCCCGGTTCCCACACTCCCAAAGCCGCAAAGGATTATTGGAACACGATTGCGCAGGCGCTACAGTGCCGCGCATGCGTCCAAACTCTGCGCATGCCCAGTGGCAGAAGCCGGCCGGGTTCACAGAGGATAACGGAGGCCGACCTGCCCCGCCCCCGCCCTCGGAGCTGGGCTTCCCTTTCTAGCCGGGTAGACTCTGCTTCCCTTTCCGGGCCAGCAGGCGGGGATTGCCGGTGTCTCTTTTTTCACTTATGCAGAGTTGGCTCCTGCAGCTTCCCATGGTGAGCGTGGTAACTCGGAGGAGCTTGGCCGCCCTGCGGCTCTGCGCCACAGGTAATGGGCGCGCAAAGGTGATGCCGAAGGCGCGCGGGGACCCGGCCCCGAAGTGGGTGCCAGGATGGGGCCCGCCCTGGGGTAGGTGCCAGGGGATGGGGCGAGGCCTGTGGGTCCGCGGAGATACCCACCTGCACCCACCTGCTGCCGGCCTCTTCCTGCCGACCCGCCGAGCCGTCCTGCAGCGACCTGACTGAGCGGACACCTTCCGGTCCTTCCCCAACCCGGGCTTTGCTGGATTGTGCCAGGCGTGCCTTCTGGGTTTTTTGTTTTTTGTTTTTCTTATCGTGGCAGGAATTTTCAATAGCGCTTACTCCATTGATAGGCGTTGATGCCACCATCCTAACCTATGGCTAACTCTTGGCTTGGTTTTCGGAGCCTTGTTAGAAGGATTTTTACCACCCAGCGTGAGAGAGGGCTGGTCAAGGGCAGATCGTGGTTAGACCGCCGGGACTGCGGTGTGAAAAGTGACTTGAGCGTGTGTGTCAGCCTGTCTCGGCCCCTGTCAGCATGGGCTACCCGGGTTTTCATTGTGGCTGACTCACTTACTCAGCAACCTTTCAGAGCCCACTATGTGCCAGGCACTGTTCTCTAAATCGTATTAGAATCGTAGTTTGACTCTGTGTCTCTCTATTTTTCCACTTTTGGGGGGGAAAAAAGAAGACTAATAGCATTTTGAATGGCATTTGAAGTTTTTACTGAAGAGATAATTCTTACTAGAGAAACAAATACAGAGGAATGGTTTTTACCTCTACTCCAAAATGATAGAATTGTAAAAAGGAAGAACAGAGGAGAGTGGAAATACGTAGAAAAAGAAACCCTATGTATTACATTTATTGACCTACATAGAACTTGCCAGTCACAGTATGGTTGCATGCGGAGGAAGCTTTCATTAAAGGGATAAACTGCTTATACTTTTGCATCACTTGTACCCTAGGGTGGATCAATGATTAATTGTTGATTAAGAAACCAAAAGCACTTTACAGGTAACTAAACATTCAATGTGAGACAAATTGCAAATCCACATTTATTGTTTACATGTCATATTTTCTTTTTTCCAGTTATTTTACTTGATGTAGCCGTCTGTCAAGGATTTGTAGAAGATTTAGATGAATCGTGAGTATATGTTAATAATATATATTTTAAATAGTATTTTAACTTTTTAAAAATAATTTTACCGTGTCTTTGCCATGTCTTTTTCTTGTAATTATATTGAGTGCTAAAATTTGATAACTACTGTTTGCTTATCTTTATAGTATTACTGCATCAATCATAAGGCCTTGCTTACAGTAGGTAAGGACTCTAGCACCAGGCCAAGATCCTATGCTTGGTGGTAGGCAATTACAAGGCTTTTCCTGGCAGGCCACAGGGGGAAGGTGCCCTCCCCACACCAAAGCTGGTACACAACCAGAGCATTGCAGTCTCTGGAGGGAGTTGTAGTCAAGGATTCAGGCCTCCCAGGCCAGCTGTGCTCATATGCATATGTGAACTTCTAGCCCAGTGGCATCTGTTTGGAGGCCTCCTTATTGGGGACTCCCCCAAGGCATTTTCTAGGCATCTCTGCCTGAACATCCTTATCAAAGTTCTCAGCTGAGTCACATTTTTGTCCTAGTCCGTTTTTCTCTTGTCCGCCTCATAAAGAGGCCAAAGCCTTTCTGTCAGCCTTCCTCCCCAGTGGGATGGAGTCCCCTGTCAGTGCTGGATCCTACCTGGCCTTGCCTGCTGCTGTTTCATGGGGAGGAATGGGACTCTGAGGAGCTAGTGCCTCTTTTTGCTTCTTGGCTGGCATCGTTACAAGAGTGAAAAAAGGCTTGCTTTTTACTCTCAGTACAGTTTCTGCTAACTGACCCCCTGGACACCTGACTGCATGACCAAATGGGGCATTGCTAGGGTAATCAGTTGAATACAGTGCTGTTCTAGAAGAGCAAAAGCCCTGGCTCTGACTACCCCACAGAGGCACGTGGCCATTTCTACTAATGGGTCTTGGGGGGGTGCACAGTGTACTATTTATAGAAACTTTGATTCTGAGAGAACTGTTGTTAACAGAGAGGCAGTCTTGCTGAAGTTAATGGTACATACGGGGTGTATCACAGCTGACCACCTCCTTCCATGTGCCCTAATAGTGGCAACTCTGCCTGAGGAGCAGGCAGGGGCTTTGCTCCTAATAATTGTTTTGTTACCCATGTGGATGGTCACCAAAAAGGACCCTACACTAACAAAGGGTCCTTAGCATGCTTGTCAGTTAAATTGAAAACTGAATTGTTCCTCACTCCAGAGTAAGCAGATGTAAAACCAGTTGCTTCTTGAATCCACAAGAGATGGCCCATGGAAATTCAGCATAATCCTAGACTAGGCAAGGACTGACAACAGTTGTGAGAAGACACCAAAACAGCATGAAAAAGCTGTCCTGCTTGTCAGATCCTGATTAAGGCTAAAAATATCACTAGGAACAGATCTGTGAAAACAGTGGGCCAGAGTGTTCTCTGCATCTGTAGTGTGGTGGACTCTGTGGTCCATCGGTAGTGTTCCTCCGGATCTTGTCTACACTTGCTGTTTCTCTGAGTTTGGCTTCACTATCGCTGTGTGTTCCCTGATTGGCCCACACTCTACAAGGCCATCCTTGTTTCCTATTCAGGTACCCCACAATCTTTTCATCTGAAAATGACCCTGATTTTTGGCCCAAGCTATATATCAGTGGCCTCAATCAATCATGGGGCGTATAATGACCTCTTCATTATCGTCCCTAATTTACAGGCTTGGCCGAATATTTTAATAAAGTTAAAGGACAGACCTAACCAGCTAATGGTGGGATACAAAATTACCCAAACCTATAGTACACATCTCAGGCTAGTGGTCTGAGATCTTAACTTAGCAATTCTCCAATTGAGTACTTTTCACAAATACTTTATGAACATGGAGCCATCAGTGCCAGAAAATGGTGGAAGCTGTTCTAAAATTCAAGTTCATCTATGCCATCCAACAACAATTTTGTAAACAGGTCTTTGTAAGAATAGCAGCCTCATGTCTGCTATGTTAACTTTTCCATACAGGGGTAAAATGAAATAGAAGTATGAGGGCTTAAATGTATATTTGTGTTTCTGCTGAATCCTACTTTAATTCTTTTTGTTGGATTACTTATTCCTGTTATTTTATTTTTGGTCAGGTAATTAGCTTTTCTTCTAAAGATGTTTAGTGAGTGGGTATGCTTTAGCAGTCCCTCAATAAAAATTTTACGTACAAATTTATTGAAAGACTTTGTTTCATGTTCCCATATTTATAAGTTTATTGTCCCTACTTATACCATCCAGTTGTAAAATGGACACAACATGCAAAGATTGGTTTTTCTTTTTTGTTTCTTTAGATTTAAAGAGAATCGAAAAGATGACATTTGGCTTGTAGATGTGAGTATGTAACTCTTATATGCTAATTATCCACCCTTCCCATTTTAAGTACCACTTTCTATTCTCCTTTTAAAGATGACAATATATAGTTAGGCTTATGTATATGCTCAGTTTGTTTTCTCAAATATTATTGTATTTGGGTTTTCATGTCCAAATGAATCTCAGAACTTTAAGGTTCTGGGCAAGGGAATTTATTGATGAAGCTGTAAGGGTAGAGGTGTTAAGAAAGGATGTTGGAACCCTATCTTATAATAAGATTACCTTAGGTAAATTATGGTATGATTTTATTCCAAAATTCACTCTTTCTTCATATTTTCTAAGAGATTGAGTATATTAATAATACTTAATATTCAAAATTACATTTTTAATCTTAATAGGGAACAGAATTTAATTTTTATCTCCCTTTCCTCACTTCCAAGTTTAGAATATATTTAAACCTTACCACAGTTGAGATTTGTTTTAACATATCTCAGCACAAAAGTAGAGTAGCAGCAGAAGAGATGGAATGAGAGTGATAGTCAGTGATTGTTGAAGCTAAAGGGCAGGGCATGATGGTACGTTGTTTAATTCATTGTCCATCTGTGCATATTTGAACCTTTCAATAGTATACAGTTGAAAAATCTTATTTCATGAAAGTAGAACAAGCAGTTTATTATACCACTTAACTAGAGGAACCTGTCACTCCCACCCTATAGTGATTCTGAGAACTGAAGGACTGTAACTTTGAGTTTAATCAGCCGAACTTGTCCCCGTCCCAAACCAGTCCTCCTCTTGATCTCCTGTGTCTTGTCAGTGCTTGTGATGAAAGTCAATAAAACCACGTACTGTCTTGGAATTCTTATGCTGGAAATAGATTGATATTCTTCATTAACACTTAGGGGGTGTGCATATGGTAAAGTATATGTGTGTTTATTTGGTGGTTTCATTTTATATGGAACATCAGCATAGGCACTTGAAAGCAAAGATGTTTTTATTGCAAAATGCATATCTGTTTTAAATAGGTATCAATAGTCATTTAAAATGAACTTAAAATTGTATCAGTTTTGAGTTACATGCCAGGAGTTAACTTATCTCGGTTTATGTGTCTTTTATCTTTTGTTATGTAACTACTTTGAAAATAAAATTTAAACTTTATTATTAGAACATTCAGTCAAAGATTCTCTAAACACTAAGATTGATATTTACACTAGCACAAAATTTTAATTTTTTTTTAACAAGTTTTATGCACCATGGTGTGGCCATTGTAAAAAACTGGAACCGATTTGGAATGAAGTTGGTCTTGAGATGAAGAACATTGGTTCTCCAGTTAAAGTTGGAAAGATGGATGCTACTTCCTATTCTAGTAAGCCTTTCCTTAGTTTACTGTTTTACTATTCTCATAGCAAAAATGTTACAATTATTTGCAGCAGTATTCAATGTGGGAGGAAGACATTTATGTTTTGCTCATATAAAATCAAAATTATCTTAATAATTTAAGACTGTATACTTTATGACTTAATGAATTCGCCATTGAATAGTGAATATGCAGTATTCTTTCTCCTAATATAGATGATTAAGCCATTTTTCTGACTTGGAATCTACTTGATATGATCAGTTTGCAAATGGCAGTTCCAGATAGTAGAGTGTTAAACTACTGATATTGCTGTATAAGTTAAGAAGAAAGTTTTTCATCTGAGTAGCTTTTGTCTGAGCAGTCTGAGATTGCAGGGAGAGGATTAAGTAGGCACTTGAGGGATGAGTTAACTTAGAATAAATACAGTGAGGATCAGGAGAACATTCACATTAGAAAGAATATTAGAACAGAATCACGAAGGCGAAAGTGAGCTTCATGAGTGTATACCAGAGAATAGAATGAAGCTGAAGTGGGCAAACTATACAAACTATGGGCCATAGGCTAAATCTGTCTAATTACCTTTTTTTGTGAATAGAATTATATTGTAACATAGCCACACTCACCGTTTACTGTTGTCTGTGTCTACGGCAGAATTAAGTAGTTGTGACAGAGACTCAGGCCCCAGAAAGCCTAAAATACTTACTATCTGACCCTTTTTATATAAGTCCTGGGGTAGGATTCTGGGATCCCAGGGTTGGCTGGTAACAGTAAAGTGAAGTAGGTGGAAACAGTAATTCTTCAGACGTTTTCAAGGGTAAAATCACAAATTTAATAGATTGGCTTTTCATTATTAAAAAGAAAAAACAAAACAATAAAAATGGTGGTGTATTTTTAGCTGTGTGGAAAAGAATACGCTTAATTTTATGTTCAAGTTATCAGTTATTTTGATTTTGTGGTCTTTTCCTTTACTGATGTTTGTGAATAGGGAATCTAGGGTATAAGCACATAAGATGTTAGAGCTGGAATTACTGAGTCACACAAATGAATTGTTGAAATTTTGAAAGAAGAGGAGATAAATGGCAGGAAATTGTTAGCGAGAGGAAGGCTAATGTGCTGGGATTAGTATTTCTTGAAGTCAGCTTTTAACAGTGTTTAAGAAGTTACAGCTCTCTACTATTGCTCGCGAAAGTACGTCTTATATCTACAGGTATATGTTGATTAGACTTGCATACACATCTTTATTCATAGGTGCATTTGTTTATTCAGTCAGTATTTACTAATTCGTGTTTGTGAAGTCCTTTGTATCTAGTTCATTAATTTATTATTCAGTATTTATTAAGTGCTCATATGTTTTAACTATTGATTAAGTGACACGATGATTAGGGAAAAAATAACTGAGATTTTTTTCCTGCATAGCTTAAGGAAGAAATTGGGGTGTTTTTTTTTTGTGTGTGTGTGTGTGTTTTAGGGTATAAAAGTCTAAGTTTATATTAGAGAAAGGAAGGAGTGGGGGAAGAGATGAGAATATGAGAGAGAAGGGAGCAGATAGGAGGGAGGATGGGACTGGAAGAAATTGTTTTAAATGCTATAAATAAAAGGCTGTATTCTTATATGTCTTTAGGCTTCATATGTAGTTTGCAGCTTTTTATTTTTTTAGGTATTTTATGGTGGAAACTTTTAAATTTTATTTTTTATAAATTAGTCAATGGTTCGATTTTTGCCTGATGCCATGATTGTTGATAAATTTTATTTCTTGTTCATTTAGTATTATATAATACATTATGTTGAATTCATAGGAGCAAAAACCTCTATCGGGGTTGCAGTCTAGGAAACATACCTGTATCTCAAGCAAACCATTTAGCCTTGGGGAAAAGGAAAAGAGAGCCTAAAATCTATACTGACAACCACCTCCCACCAGGCACTGTGATAGGTGCTTTTGTATACTCTAAGGTGTAAAGCCTGTTTTTTACTCCTTGGACATAGAATGCTAAACTTCCACACCCGGTCTCACACCTTACATCCCAACCTGCATAGTGATGCTTGCAAATCCTTGGGGCTCCTTCAATGGTCGAAACGTAGTTTATTGAAAAAAATCATCCCTTTGTAAAAGGAATAGTCCAGTCAGCATTCATTCATTTAGCAGATGCTGAAGAGCTCATCATGTGTCAGATGGACACGTCACTGAGCAAACATGTAAAAGTTCTGCTTTCATGAAACTTACATTCTTGTCAGGAGAGACAAACGGCACCAGTAAACGTAAGCAAATAGTCCAGTGTTGTTTAAGATTTATGGTCAGTGATGGATGGATTATCCATCTAAATATAACATCATGGAGATATTCTATATGTGTACAGAAAAAGTTGATAAGTATACAAAGTATTATGAATATATTTTTGCTTATAATTCCCAAATTTTCTTTGAATCCTTAAAGGCAGCTCAAATATAGGAGTTCAAGTTCTTTTTAGTAGAACTTGGAATCAAACGGTAAAGAAATTGAATTTTTTTTGAGCCATCTGTCAGTATTGTTTTATGCCTACCTGTAAGATATGAAGGATCGCCTGTCCTCTAGATAACACTTCTGTCCATACAGATTGCTGTTTGGGCAGTTAGAGTGTTAGTATTTCCAGCTTGGGGTCTATAGACTGTCTGTGTTAGGATGACCTGGATGCTCACTGATTATGCAGATTCTGAAGGCTTGCATCAGCCCTACCCAATGAAAATCTTGAAGATTGGGTCATAAGAGAATTTATATTTTTAATTTCACTTTAGGTGATTCTGCTGCATACTTAGGTTGGAGAACTACAAAGTAGAATTTTTTTTTTTTTTAAAGGACAGGTAGTTACAGGATTTTGGTTCAGGATGGGGTAGGATTATTCAAAGTGATCCAATGTGTATCGTCTCTAAGAATCTTTGATGGTAGCTTAGTTCTTTTTTATTTTATTTTATTTTTTTGCTGTTTTTGGCCAGGGCTGGGTTTGAACCCATTACCTCTGGTATATGGGGCCAGTGCCCTAATCCTTTGAGCCACAGGCACCACCCCGGTAGTTTAGTTCTAAATCATGAAATTGTAGTAATTGGAAGAAGCAAATGTCCTCAGACTCGGTCCAGTAAATTTCTATGTATAGTTTTTCACTATAGAGAAATATGAACTCTTATGATTCATCCTACTTTGTGTTTGGAATTGTACCCAAAATTTTGATGCATGATTTTAACTAATAATACCATTATCAAATAACATGAGAAGAGTTGTGTAATATCCATTGTAAATTTAGATGTGTGTTTGAGGCTTTTTTGTACATACCCCTTCAAATAAGGGTACTAAAAATGTTTCTCATGAGCAAGTTAAAATACAACATAATGCTGTCTATAATAGTGTGTGCTGGTTTTTATTATGGAACCATTGAAATTCTGTTAGTCTCCAACTTAGTGTAACATCATTTTAAGGTAAAGATCATATTTTCCCAATTTGATGTATAATTTTTTTAGTGACATATTTCTACTAACATTTTTATCCTGAGTTGTTCACAGATTATAGTTACAAATTAATTTTACTTCTCTAGATTACAGAGTATTTTTGGTTAATGACCATATTTCAGGGTTTTCAACCTTGTACTATTAAAATTTGGGGCTGGATAGTTCTATGGGTTTTGGTTTTGGTTTTTCAGTCAGTGACTGTTGTTCAGAGTTTATCATCTTTGCACTACTGGGCTAGGACATTGGCCTTCTGTTGTGGGGGAGGGTCCCTGAGCATGGCGGGATGTGTAGGCGCTTCCCTGGCCTTCCTTGGTAGACACATAATGACACTCACTAAATACGAAGAAAAACAATAACTTTTGAGATGGAAAAGAGTTCAGAGATTAACTCCGGAATTCTTTCCCCATCACCATTTTCTAGATCAAGAAACAAGGTAACTTAGATAAAATGACCTTGAGTAATTTCACATACCAAAGTTGGAAACAGAATTAGGCCTGGAGTCCAAGATCACCATGATTCACATCCCTGCCTCTCTCTACAATTATGTTGCTATATTTCAGGTGAAAAACAGAAATGAGAGGGCTTTTTTCGTGTTTAATCATGTTTTATAAATATTTGAAATTATAAAACTTCAGGGAAGTTACCCATGTTGTGGATTCTTTGACTTGTGAAGGAATTGACCTCAGATTTCTACATAAACCATTCCCTAATACGAAAAAAAAAATAATGAAAACTTTAAAGTCTAACTGAGTTTGTCGCAGCCCTGTTACCTGATCACTGTTTGCTCTCAAACAAGGTACCAAGTCTCCCTAAATTTTAGTTTCTTTATGTGAGTTAGTGCCATTCTTTTCCTTCTCACAAAATTGAGATGTAGTTGAAGAATATGAAAGGCAGTTATGAAATATTCTACAAATTGCTGAATTGGTTTTTATTAGTATTACACTATCTGCGTTGGATGTTTCAGCAGATGATCACTCAACAGTGAAATCAGAATCCAGAGTAGAAGGAAGTAGATTTAATATTTAAGAATCTTGCATGTGTCAGACTGTTTATATTTCTTTCCATACTTTTTCTAACTTTAAAATCCCAACCTATAACCCTGTGAGTAGTGTATCTCAGATTAGAATTAAAGAAGTCAAGACATTTATCCAAAGTTGGATAGCTAATAAATGAAAAGGGAATCCTAACCCATGTCATTGTATGGTTTGTTTGTTAATGTTTGTTTGTTTTTTACTGCCATTTGCCTTCAGAAAATGCTAAGGCTGAAATTTTAGGATTCATTGTCAATTAAAATTCTATCAGAAATGAAGGTTAATGGTCAAGGAGCCAAGGGGCTGTAGTTGGGTGATATCATCTCCATCTTCTAAATATGAAAACTAAGGTCAAGAAAATTAAGTCATAAGGCTGAATATGGAACTGAGATTGTTTTGTCTGAAGCCTGTTATGAGAATTGCATTTTCAAGCTACAAAATATCACCAGTATATTTTCTCATTGATTGCATACTTCATTTATTTGATTTTTGGGTTAATATATTTTAAAATAATTTAAAATAAATAAAGGGATTACTATGGGGCTCCCCCTCCCACAATCAAGCATCTTAATCTGTATCTTTTGGCAGTTTTTAATGCATTTTAATTGAAGGTAACAAGGGCTTGTATTTGCCTGTCTCCTTAATTTTGGAAGGAGATCAGGTTTTACTGACATAATCTCCCCAAAATCTTTTCTGTGTTTTTTCTTATAACAAGGTAATCTGCATAACTGCAGTCACCATTTATACTTGATAGAATTAAGTCCTACATTAGAGACTGGCACAAATTATCTAAGGTTGAGGAAGGGAATGAGGTAAAATCCACTTTAAAGGATTTTTGCCTACGTTTTTAAAGCAATGATCTAAATCATTATATGCTTCTATGTGACTTCTCTGGCCAATTAAAAGATTTTTTTGTACATATAATTAAGCCAAATGTTTAAAATGGTTACATAAACCATTTTACATAACTATTCACAGAAAAGACCTACATCTTTAGAATTTGTGTTCTTATTTGTTATTTCTGCTGTTTGTGCCCCCCCTCTTATCAAAATGAGTGTTGGCCCCTGGTCACTGTCCAGGCTCTTCCACTCACCTCGCTCCGTGTGTTTAGGGGAGAAGCTCTGGAGTTGACAAAGGAAGGTGCAGGGATTTTGGACAATATTTTGTCAGAAATTCACTTTGTTGTTATTCATGTGAATTGGTGAGAGGTGATAAGAATCCAAAGATTAATGAGGGTTATTAAAGTGATTGTTAAAAAAGAATTCAGATAAAAGAGTTTGATTGTAAACAACTGTGATAAAAAATATCCTGGAAATTACAAAAATTACAAAGGGATTGATCTTGTAATACAATATACTTTGTACTAGTGTAGTTTTGTAAATATATCAGGTAAAGTCTATTAACTAAGAATATTTTATTTCTTCCCTCCTGTCCTAGTTACTCTAAAGTATAAAGAAGTTTATTTTTAATTTGCTGAGTGATTTCCATAGTCTTTACAGGCCTAATTCCCTATTAATGTTTACTTGATTTTGTTATTGTTTCTTCTTTTCCCTCAAAAGGTGCCATTGTAGCACTTATTTCTCATTTCAATTAATACAAGGATTTCAGAATAATCTTCTAGATAATTGGAATTTTTGTAGGTTATCAAAAAAGTAGAAACTTTTTTTAGAGGAATAAATGAGACCTGAAAGAAGTGTTTGTTCTGGAAATGAAGTCAAATGAGGATTACTTTTTTTTAATCATCATAGCATTTAAAATAAGTACTTTATAGGTAAATTTTTAATTGTTCTTTCAGCATTTATTTATTTTGTCATAGAATTTTGTGCAGACCATAGGTTGGATTACTTAGCAATGTTTTATATGAGAATGTCATGATTTTTTTTTTCTTTTTCCATGTAAGTTTGTATTTTTTCTTAAGACTTAAAAACAACATATGGGTTTGTGTAAATATGCTTTTTAAGTAAAAGGCACATTTGTTACCTAGTTTCTCTTTTAAAAAAAAAATTTAGAATTATTTATTCTTTTTCTTATCAAGGCATTGCTTCAGAGTTTGGAGTTCGAGGTTATCCAACAATTAAGCTGTAAGTTGAGTGTTGTATGTTTATATGTGTATTTTTATTAGTTCACTCTACTTACATTTTATTACATTAATTTTCAGTAACTTCCTTGGAGGACTGAAGATTTGGGTTCAGCCATTCTTTGTAGGTGGAGTGTGTGGTCAGAGGAGGGCGTCTGCATCTTTATGGCTTTCTTCATGTTTGAGGAACTGTGTTGTTTATGGCTAAGTCAGTAAATGGGTTTGAGCACCTGCTGTGTGACAGGCACTGTGCAGGATAAGGTAGACAGTCATAAATTGTGAAAGGTCTTTACGCTCAAGGGCACACGGGTGTGTTCAGCTTTATTATCAAAACTCCTGTCTCAGCAAATTGAACTTTAATGTAATTAAAATAGACTTACTTCATTAGAGATCAAGGGAGAGAATCAAAGTTGATGGATGTGACTCCTGATGCGTTAGTGCTGATCAAGTGGAGTGGAGTGCACGAGGAGGAAGAAATGACATAGGAATTCTGGAGGACTTGTTCTAGAAACATGACTTTATTGAATCTTCTATGATTTTCATTAACATTATTTTGATAACATCGGGAACTTAGGGTTTGTTTTGAAAGTTATTTTTATAAGAAAGTGAAATGATTTTCAATATTTAAAAATCTTAAATGCCAAGTTGTGAGTAATTTAAAGTTGCGTCTGGGCTTTAGTGCTGACCTTTTCTTCTTTCCTCACATTGTGAAAAGTTGCTAAGCCTCTTTTACTTTTTGTGTTTTCTTTTCTTCCTGTTTAATTATAGGTATAAGATAGTGCTTCCCAATTTTTCTTTTCTAAAATTTCAGTTAATTAAACATCAAGTAATCGATTGGTAGGCTTTTAGAGAATTATCTAATTTTCTGATAGAGTTGTTTTAGGCATTGTTTTACCCTGTAATGTTGAACCATCTGTGAAGTATCTGTGATAGTGTATTGCTTAAAATTAGTTTCACCTCTTCTAAAATATTCTTAATTCCTTGTCATTATATTAACCTATTGACTGGGAAAATAGTGAAAATTACAGTGCTTTAATTTTCCAAGCTCTTGACTGTGAATGTGTGGAATATTCACTTTTTAAAAGCAGAGTATAATACAGCCTTTTTGTTTACATTTTTGAGTTGCTGGTCTTCTGAAAACAAATGCCTATTACATTTTATGAGTGTGCTACTTCTAAAACTCTTCTACATTTACTATCTTATATATTATACTTGTGTGCAACAATAGCGTGATTAACATTAAATGTTAAAACAGTTAAAATAAATCAAGTTTTTATGTTTTGTTTTTTTTTTTTAAGATTAAAAGGGGACTTGGCATATAATTATAGAGGACCACGAACTAAAGATGATATTATTGAGTTTGCTCACAGAGTATCTGGGTAAGTTCTTAGTAGGAAAGGCCTTACCTATACGATATTAATACTTGAAAATCAAATATATTTTCATAGGCTGTATTGAACATGCATATTTTAGAAACTTACCTCTATAAACATTTATTCATTTGTGAGAAAAATTAAGGTTTACATTCATATGCAAAGAGATACTTGAAAAAAACATAGAAAATAATTTGTATTGTATTACTTCACATTTAAATTCATTTTGTGTTTAAAATATTTTCCCCAATGTATTTTTAATGTATTTGGAAAATTTTGATCACTTATAGCAGTTTGTAAATTTTCATTTTCATTTTATGATGATTTTGCTTTTGGACTGGCTGGTTCTGAGATTTAAGAGAAGCCATAGAAAATGATTGTTTAGAATGGACTCAGACTTTCATACCTAGCCTGATACTGGAAGCTAAAATACTTGTCCTTATCTATCATGTGCATCTTCACATGAACTATGAAATATTTTTGCACTTTATACTTAGAGTGTGACACTTAAAACCTAAAGATCTAGTGGACGTACAGATCTTTGAGGTTTTACTGATAAAAAATCAAATTCTTCTGTGTTTCCTATGAGTTTGAATGTGGTGATTTTTTTTTTTTACTCCACCTTGCTCTGAGATATAAAGAAAATCTCTACTCACAGTTTAATAGGATCATGTGAAACTTCTTGAAGAGAAAATTCATCAAAGCACATTAATGTACATTGGCTTTAAAATATAGGCACTTAAGAGTTTAGCAGTATATATTATATTGATAGCTTTATGTAACTTTAAGGTAAATTAAAGTGGGATTGATTGGTTGGGTGGCATGATACTATCTCAAATTATTGGAGGAAATACAAAGAATTAGATATCATAATATGTTACAACTTGTAATACTAATATAATTTTCAGTGGATTTCCTATTGATTGCATGTTTTATTTTCTGGATAAATGAATTCCGAGATGACTTTATATGAGGGGGAGTGCTAGCAGGAGGTACATTATTCCCTCAGGATTTTTATTAGTCTTTATGTTCTGGTGATTTTTAAATGACTTGTGTTAAGCTTAAGATGAGATTCTTCTGATGTAATTAGAGGTGACTCTACTGCAATTGGAATTTCAAGAGGCAGTTCTGGAGTTGCATCACTCACAAGTTACTAAGTATTAACGACTAGTGAGAGTGAGTGATGCAATGCACCTAAAGAATTGTGCGTTGAGAAAATGTTGGCCTTTGCAAAATGTACTATGTTCTTTTTGCAAATTTGGTGGAGTGAAAATTCTGTAATGTGCACCAGATTTAAAAGAATTCTGTTTCTTTAGTTTTTAAAGGATACTTTGTAAATGATATGTTTATAATAAACTTTGGTGTTTAAATCATATCTTAAGTCTCATATCTTCAGCTTTGAAAAATGCTTGTATAATAAAACTCTTTGTATAGTTTTGTTTTTCTCTTTATGGGGGATCATTTTCCATTTTATTTTTTCTGAAAATACTTAATATACTTTTGATATTTTGGAGTTGTAACCTTCATGGGTGCTTGAAAACTAAATGGCATCTAAATTGACAGAGTAAAATATTATATGCTTAATATAGTACTATATTCTCCTGGGATGGTATTTCATACAGTGTTTTGGCGAATGATCTTTTGAAAGAGAAAACATAATTCCCTCATGAGTTGTTTTGTTTTTAACCAAGGACTCATGATAGTCCCTTTTTGCCTATCAAAATATTGGCAGTGATGCTAGTCTCTAAAGGGATAGATTTAAAATGTATTTTGAACCTGATACAATTTAATCTTTAGTATATAAGTGCAATAGTAGTCATAGGCTGTAATTTTTTAGACTTCTATGGATTTTGAGATATACTTAAAATACAGTTAATATGTTATTAAACCTTTATAACTTAACACATAGCTATAGTATAAATAGGTGTAAATTATGTACTATTTTTAGTTCATAATGCAAATTTATTTTGTGTTTATTTTGAAACAGAGCTCTAATTCGGCCACTTCCAAGTCAGCAAATGTTTGAACATGTACAGAAGAGACATCGTGTATTTTTCGTTTATATAGGTGGAGAATCACCTTTGAAAGTATGAAATCATTTAATTTTTTTATCCACACATGTATTATAAATTAATTTGCTATCTGGCTAAGACTTCACCAAAAACGCAAAACTTATTCCACTCTTACTGGAAATATTTTATTCACTCTAAGTATTTTTTTATAATAAGAACACTTTCTTGTATACTCTCTGTAGTGTCTGCCTTTATGACACAGAAGTGAATAAACAGTATGGGTAGATGCCGCCAACTTACTTCTCCTATTACTAACCTGGGTATTTAAATTTTGTATTGCTTTTTAATATTTAGAGTCACAAAACTCCAAAATGGTAAACTTTTTAATGGCAAAAGACCATTGTTTTCAGCTGATTTTTGTTTCTGTGTGCCTGTGTGTGCATGCACACATCTTATAATCATCACTATATTATTTAGCCTTGTTATCTAGTTAGTGATTAAATTAGTAAATGTGAATTGAGCTCATGTTACGTTCAGTGAACTTTACTTGGAGGAAGATACAAGCACTTACAGTGCTCTTTTGCCTTAAAATGCTGTTTGCTTGTGATATTCTATCTTTTCACCTAAAATGCCATATAGTAGTAAATGGTGATGATCTTCTTACTGCACAAGGTAACTCAGACTATTAATGAGGAATGATTTTGATCTTTAATATTTAAAAATGGGTTTTCTTTCTGTGTGTATCTTCACAGGAGAAATACATAGATGCTGCTTCAGAGTTGATTGTATATACATACTTCTTTTCTGCCCCTGAAGAAGTAGTTCCTGAGGTAATATGCAAAATTGGATATTAATGACACAATTTCATTTTTTTAATTTTTACTTGATTTTACTGTCAGATTTATTTACGATGATTTGTGTAGAAAGAGTAAAGATATTAGTCTGTTATTGGTATTAGATTGCTTGTTACTAATAAGCAAATAGCAGATTCATAGCATTTAGGGGTTATGATTATTACATTAGTGCTGTTTTTTCTCTTTAAAATAGAAGTGATGACAAGTGTTTTCTTAAACCTTAAGTTGGTTTATAAGTGGTGGATTAATGTGTGTGTGTGTGTTTTGCAGATGAAGTCCTTTGTTGGATTCTCATACTGAGCTATCAGTCCTTGGCAAATAAATATATAAACAGGCTATAAGTGCTATGAAATAAAAAAGTAGATAGTTGGAGCACATGAAGGTGGGATGGATGCTTTGATTGAATGATCAAGAAATGTCTGAAAAGAAAATATTTGAATTGGAACTTACATAAAAAAAAAAAAAACCTGTTGATTGGGTGTGTGATAATCAGAGAACAGATACTATAAATCCCCAAATGAGAATGTGGCTGGCATAATGCCGGGGCAGAAGAGGAGACCAGTGTGACTACAGTGCGGTGAGCTAGGAGGTCGTCGGAGGCCAGAGTCGCCTCAGAAGTCATGGCAATGTATGTGAAGTGGTTAAAGTTGTAAAGAATATGGGTTCCTGTTCATGATAAAGGCTAAGTACCAGTTACAGTGTTTCAGTGATGAAAGTCATTTAAATGTATGATTTTTTGCAGTATGTGAAACTGAAAGAGATGCCTGCTGTGCTTGTTTTCAAAGATGAAACTTACTTTGTTTATGATGGTGAGTTCCAAAGTTTTAACTCATATAAAAATCTTAACATTAAAATGTTTCTTTTATAGGACTTAGGTGTAATGGGAACGTTTTACAGTTCCTCTTTTAAATGATTGATGTTTGTAATTTTTTTTGCCCTTGAAATGTAGTTTTTCCATCTGTTGTTTTTCATTCTGAGTTTTATCTACAGTGAATCATTTTGTCAAAATTATTTGCCTTTTGAGAAGTATAAACCCCTGTACAGCTTGTATGCATTACTTTAAAATATTCAGAATTAATTTCTCTAAAAGTATCTAACATTCCAGAAACACAAGATGAAGAAATAAAACATATTCACTAGTGTTGAAGCCGCTGTGAATCGCTCCCTAGTTGCCTTTCTCCCTCCTTGTCAGAAGTAACATCTACCTGCTGTTTAGCCTTTCTTTATTGATGCAAATACTTGGTCTATTTTGAAAATATTTGAATTATGCTATCATACATACATCATTGTAAAAAGAGTAGTGAATAAAACCCAACATACTCATCATGTAGGTTAAAGAAATACCAGGATCTCACCACATTTGCTTCATCATCAACTTTTTTCTATGTTGAAAGCAAATCCCTGTGGCATTTTATCACTAAATACTTTATTATGATGCTCTTAAAAAATGGGGACTTTTTTCATATTCTCACATGCTGCTATAATATCTGATGTAATTAACAATAATAATCCCTTGGTATTATCAAATCCTTTCTCCTCTGGTTCCCAAACCTGTTCTGAGATCCTCAAGGGCCATACGACGAACTCACAGGGGCATCAGGAGAGACTTTGAATTTCAGTAGAAATAATTGAACTCTACATCTGTCAGGCACCACAGAGGCACTCAAAAATAATAGTGAATGCTAGGTCTCATCTAAGAGTAATGTTGGTAACATTGTAATTCCAATTTAATAAAATAAAAAATTCAGTTTCTCATTCTGACTACACCTTGTAAATGCTCAGTGGCCTTACGTGCTTGTGGTTGCCACGTTCTAGAACCCAGATGTACATAACAGAAGGGAAAGTAGGACTAGTGGAGAGCAGTAGACTTCAAAGTGCTTAAACAATTCAAATAGAAGACTGTCCAACAAAAGAAACATTTTGATTGCTTTGTTTTAGTAAAAGGAGATTTTAATTGCTTATATAGTTTAGATTGTTTGGTTGTGAAGGCTAAGAACTTACAATCTTTATTTTCTATTAATGAATGAGAAAACTGAATTTGATTTCTTGCTATAGAATAACTACCATTTATACTGTCATGATACAGACGGTACTGTCTGTGCATGAACTTTTGACATGTTCATTTCATGTCCAAAGTAAGCTGTTAAGTAGGTCATAAGGCAGGTACATTAATACCTTTAGATTACAAAAGGGGTAACTGAGAACATTAGATAAGGAGAGAAACGTGCCATTAAATGGTCATTTATTCATTGGATATTTATTGAATGTATTAGACATTCAGCTTAAAAGGGATGTAAGAGGCACTTATGCATATGAAAATATGAAAAAGAAAAGACAGAAGAAAGTTGGGGAGGAAAACAATTCATATCTGTGCTATAGAATCCGCTTAGTCTATCACCTGATCTTACGGTAGCCCTCATATGATAAGCACTGACTGTCTATTGTGTTATTCGAGCATTACAACAATCCTTGAAGATCAATATTCTTGTTATTTTACAGGTAAAGAAACAGGGTTTAAAAGATTTTTTTTCCGAGTTAAAATATTTCGTCCTAATGGTATCAAAATTCAGCCTTCAAAACTTTCATTCTTTTTCTATGATGAGTTTCTTAACAATTCAGAGAGCTAGTCTGTTTCTTTTTTAGAAAAATCCTGATCTTATCTATTTAGATTTGCCTGTGCTCCTTTGAGCCTGTCTAAGATTGTCCCCTCCCTTGTCTTTCCATATTTCAGCTGTGGTCTCTCTTGCTTAAAACAGACAATCATCATATGTTCAGCTTCTACGGCCACTGTAAAGGCCACATTTTTCTGACATGCAGTTATTGATATTTAGAACCTGCCTGAACCCTTTAGATAAAAAGGTTTTACTTTGAATTCTTATTGTAATGTTGAATTGTTGTTAATAAGGTTAGAAGCAGTGGGACTTAGGATGATGGTTTATTTTTGTTTTATTTATTTATTTGTTATTTCAAACTATTGGAGGGTATAGACAATTGGGTTACAGTGTTTACATTTGTTAGGCTAGTTTATTTCCTAGTTCAAAGTTGATCCATTTGTACCATCTTTAGGAAATTTGCTTTTGAAATCCAGTAGAGATTATGGCCCAGGAATCAGCTTCTAGTTTTTATGTTTATTTTTCTAATTCATGAGTCCACATGTGTAATTACTTTCAGATTTGCATTTTGTCACTTATTTTATGGGTTGATAACTTGCAAATGTTATGTTTAGCAATACAAGTGATGGAAAAAGCATACCTCTCAAGAAATTACTAAAATCCAGTCTTCAGTCAGACCTAATGGTAGGCTTTTAAGGAAATTTTGCTTTATATCAGCTTCTTTTTCAGCAGTTGTAATGATTTTCAAACCTACTTCAGAATTATATGTCTGATTAGGAAATAGCATTTCACTTAGGTATCATATTTTCCATTTGATTAACAAGAAGTATTTGATGTTGGAAAGGAGCTAATGTATTATGGGTTTGTATGTGTTTGTGTTGCCTGTATAAGAAAGAGTTGTGAACTAATCATATTATAAATAGAGAAGTGCAAAGAAACTATCATAAAAACTTCCCACAGCACCATGATCCGAGTCTAACTGTCTTCAGGAAGATAGGCCTTCATTTCATTATTGTGTCAGTTTATCTGTCTTGTCTTTATTTTTTACAAAGTTATGGTCTAATTTTAATACTGTTTTATAACCTTTTTATTTCAAATTTTTTATTATAATTTTCTGCTTTAATTTATAAGTTGTTTTTCTCAACATGTAGCAAAGTTTATGTGAATTATTTCCTGTTGGGGTCATTTTGATTATTTCCTTTATTTTTAATTATTTTTTTCTATTTTTAATGATGCTAGAGTGAAAAATTGCTTTGTGCATTAATCGTTTTATACATCTGATTATCTGCTTAGAATAAATTCCTAAAAATAAAATGTATAGATTTATGATTCTCTATCAGGCATTTTATACATATTGCCATACTTATCAATGTTTTGTTTTTAAGAATACGAAGATGGGGATCTGTCATCATGGATCAACAGGGAGAGGTTTCAGAATTATCTTACTGTGGATGGCTTCCTCTTGTATGAACTTGGAGACACAGGTAACAAGCATGTATACAACTATCAGTTGACAGAATTTTTCTTTATTTGGTTACTTAAATCATGTTCTGTAGGAAATGAATTTAAGCTCTAGGTCATAATTTAATCTTTTTGTAGGACATGAATTGCCGTTTCTGCCTAATGAGAACGTAGACTGAAATTACCAAAGAACTTGCCTTTGTATGTGGGTTAAAGATTAGCAGAAGACGCGGTTTACTAGTGGACCTGGGGGTCAGTGGGGAAACAGAGCCTGGGTAATAAAGGAATGAGAAAAAAGGAGCAGCCGAGAGGCTGTACTCAGGGGGCCTATCGTGTACTGAGAGTTGAAGTAAAACTTACCATGACCTTATAAGGCCTGCTTTTACTTGGGAGGGTGAAAAATTTTAATCAGATTGGCCTAGTTTCTTAATGTTATACTGTTAAGAATGGCACAGCCAGTGTAAAAATACGTACAAAAATGAAAGCTATAAGAAGCTAAATTATATGATTTCATAGATGGAAACTACAAAAAAAAAGCTGACTGAATTTTAGAAAGAGGTGTTTTATAAATTTATAGCAAATTAGGAATGAGGAATCACGGTTATTGTATCTCATTTATTTCCATTCCCGACTTTATGATAAGAATGGGAGCACTTCATAGAAGGCGTGATTGTTTGGCATGAGAAGTGAGGAGCTTACAGCTTCTTCATGATTCCCTCTCCTTGAAGCTGATTAAGAATACAAACTAGAGATAGTCTTACACAGTCCCTATTATTTGTAACTTTCCTTAAATACTTACTACTTGTTTTGTTCCCTGAGCCTGCTTTAGTATTCTGTGTCTGGTGGTGTTTCTTCTCTGCTTATCTTTGCAGAAGGTGCTGTGTATTAGCTTATCACATGGCTAACAGCTACTGTGAAATATTAGGTTTACTTAGCACTCTGGGAGGCCGAGGTGGGTTGATCGCCTAAGCTAATAGGTTTGAGATGAGCCTGAGCCAGCACAAGACCCTGCCTTTAAAAATAGACAGGTGTTGAGTGGTGCCTATGGCTCAAAAGGGTAGGGTGCTGGCCCCATGTACTGGAGGTGGCGAGTTCAAACCCAGCCCTGGCCAAAAATAAATAAAAAAATGGTGAAAAAAAAAAAAAAAAACCAGTCAGGTGTTGTAGCAGGCACCTGTAATCCCAGCTGCTTGGGAGGCTGAGGCAAGAGAATCGCTTAAGCCCCAGAGTTTGAGGTTGCTGTGAGCTATGACACCATGGTACTCTACCGAGGGTGACAGAGTGAAACTCTGTCTCAAAAAAAAAAAAAAAAAAATTAGATTTACTTTCTGATTCTCTCAGGCCCACAGAAAGGACAAAGGGAAAATACAGGGACAGGGCAGTTTTGCTTTTAGTACAGTAATAATAGAAGATAGCTTGACCTCCAGGTAATTGGAATAGATGACTTTGGCTGTACTCAGTTGTAATTTGGAAAAAAATTACCTAAGGCAATGTCCCTTTTGTGTGTTAGGCATCAGCTGTGGTTGCCCCCCTGCCTGTCACCCCACCTGTCCCTTTGTACAAGTGCTGCACCCTCTTCCAGCTCTCTGTGGCTTCAGACTCATATTGTGTTTCTCTTTGGTGGCTCCAGGTTCTTGTGTGTTCTGACCCGTGCCTGTATCTGTAGCCTCATTTCACTCTGGTCTGTCCCCATACGCTCCCTCTCTGGCCACGTTGACCTCCCAGTTTCTTTAAAAGGCTACGCAAGCAGCACCTTTCTGCGTTCTTCTTTCTCTTCATCAAATTCAGGTCAAATATTGCTTCCTTAGGAAGATCTTGATTGAACCCCTTTCTACTTTACTCTGTAATAGTCTTTTATAGCAACGTACTTCTTTCCTTCAGAACTCTAACTATTGTTAAGAGGACATTTATGTGATTAAAGTGTCTGTTCCCCCTACTAGATTGTACTTTGGCAAGTGCAGAGCTGGGCCTGTGTAACTCCGTTTTGTGTAACTAGTCCAGCGTCCAGTATGTTACCTGGTGCTCAGTTAATGTTCAGTAAGCATGTGAGAAACAGCCTGTGTTTGGAATCCTGCTGGCCCATGGGAAGATGCTGTACATGTTATAGGCATTTGAAAAAGAACCTATGAGGCATTTGCAAATTAAGGAAGCATGTAATAAAAGACACACACTCATTTGTAAATGAAATATTTTTGTCAAGAAGGTAAATAATCAACAGGAGTTAATGTTTATCAACAGAGGATTAGCAGAATTTAGTGAGGAGTTTAAGCAGTATGGAATTAGGGTAAGCAGTATTAAAATGCGGTGATGAAATTGAAAAAATGCTGATTTAATTTTACATTTATGTTCCTGCGCTGAGCCAGGTGTCATCTCAATATTTATGTGCTTGTAATCTCATTTAACTCTCCCAGTAACTCTACAAAATAGGTGATTTTGAAAATAAATGACACCTCACTGAGATTATGTCGCACAGCTAATGATGAGGGCACTTTCCTGTTGTTCTCCCAGGGCTTGGGACAGTGCCCAGAACCATAACCAACTGCTTGACTGTAGTGTCTGGTTTGCTTACTCCAAACCACTGTCTGGTTATGACATCATGCCACCTTTTTTAGAGGATGTCAGATGATGCGATTAATGTTCTCATTAGGGTTAAATAAATACAGGTCCATTTAATCCTGTGTATTATTACTGGCAAGTGGTGATCCATGTAAGGAAAAGGAAAGGCATGTAAAAATGATTGTCTTACTGTTACATACTGTTTAATAAGAGCTAAGGTAATTCTAAGTAGATGTCTTTTATGAACTTCTTATGGTTTTAGATTTGGATAAAATAGTTATCTTACACAGTTTATGGGGTATGTGAAAAAAATACAATTTGAGCATATAAGTTGTTACAAAATTACACTGGAAGTATAAATATTGCTATATGTTTATTATTTACCTTTTGGGGGGTAGGAAATTGAAGGGAATTTATCATCTGGAGTTGACTAATTCACTGACACACTCTTCATACTTATTTTCTCATAATGTGTTGATCTAATTCAGTATAACGTGTAGGATAATTGGAATTAAATTCTGCAGACATTTTACTGATTCCCTGTTTACAACTAAAGTGATTATTGAAAAGTTTATATATTGAGATTATTGAATTTAGACATGTTATTCTAATTTCAGGAAAGCTTGTGGCTATTGCAGTTATCGATGAGAAAAATACATCAGTTGAACATACCAGGTATAGTGCCCTAAGTAGCTTTAAGCTTCAAATGTCATTTACCTTATGGCCTTAGATAGATTTGATATGGTATCTTTCTTTCCTATAGCACATAGATAAGGCAGCAGATGCTATGATTGAATAAGTAATAAGATGAAATACTCATGTGTTTGTTCTACAGATTAAAGTCAATTATTCAGGAAGTTGCCAGAGATTACAGAGACCATTTCCATAGGTAGGTGCTGTATTCCATAAATCCCTTTATCTTTGTTTGTTTATGCTTTGTGATTCAGTAAAGCAAAAGTAGTATCATTTTATACTTTTCAAAGGTGAATCAAAGAACTGAATTAAAGGATAGTAGTTTCCTCTTACCCATGCAAGATAGTTTCTGAGATCCACTTTGGATGCCCAAAACCACAGATAGAACCAAACTCTTTTTTTTCTATAAATACCTGCCCATGATCAAGTTTAATATAGGAATTAGGTACACTAAGAGATTAACAATAACTAATAAAATAGAACAATTATGTACTGTAGTAAACATGTACTATATATAAAAGTACAAACATGTATTATAATAAAAGTTATATAAATGTTTATTTCTGGAATTTCATGGTAACTAAAGCCAGCGATGACAGGGGAGTACTGTAGGAAAGAGTATTGAATTTTAGTGTGAATTGTCTGAATCTTGAAATTCCTTGTGGATTGTGCTACACATTAAAAATAAAACTTTAATATAGTTTGTATCATACCTGCAGTCTGATAGAAATGGAGATAAATTTCATAAAAAGAAATCTGCACGTGTACCTATAAATTAGAGATAGTTAAATGAGTAATCAGAAGTCAGAGAGGTGGTGATGGTAACAGGAAGTCAAAGAGCAACTGCATATAAAAGTGACATCAACAATAAATATATTTTTGCTATGTGCTAAATCATTGTTACTGCTCTAAAGGATAGCCAATGTAAATTTGTAATATTCTTTAATTATTAATTCCTTTTGATCTTCTAATGACGGGTCAATATATAGTTTTCTTATTACATAGTCTTTATCATTTTTGTATTAGATCTTTTCTAAGGTAAATGGATAATTTTTCTAGACATACTAAAGCTAACAACACATATTTTTCTGCATTTTAAGTGTGCATAAAGGAAGTAGAAATGTATTAGACTTTGCCTTATTCTACCCATGTGTATTGGTATCTCAAAAGCCAGTAGCAGTGATATCCTTTTTTATACTTACGTTTGCGATTTGCGTGTTAACAGTTTACAGCGTCTATGTGCTTAGCACGCAAGCACCAATGTTCAATTTGTTGGGTTGTTTGCTTTTTAAATTTTTGTATTTAATATTGTGCTTTTCTTTTTTGGTTATTGTTGGTTAGGGATTTTCAGTTTGGCCATATGGATGGAAATGACTATATAAATACCTTGCTGATGGAGTAAGTAAAGTGATGAATGATTTTGCTGTCAAATCTATCAAATTTTTTATTTCTTTTTCTGAGAAATAGGCAGAAGGGTTAAGTAGCTGGTAAAAGCTAATGGTGTATAGTGATGCAGACATTCTTTCATTAAATATCTTACTTGAGTTTTTAAATTCTGTATTTGAAACTTACTGAATTGTGTAACTACTAAGTAGAAATTTTTTAGCATTCAAGAACTAATTGCTATTCTAGAAGAATGTATTTGAATAGACTAAAATAACTTTATAGAAACAAATCCAGTTTTAAAATAATTTCAATATATTATGTTTATGATGTATAGTCTAATTTGTCACTTTAGAAAACTGATAGTAAAAATATTTACCATGCCCTGTACTGAATTAATAAATTTGAAACAAGAACCAATTGTTTGAACCTGCCACCCTTGGTATATGGGGCGGGCACCCTACTCACTGAGCCACAGGTGCCGCCCATCCCCCCGTCTTTTTTTTGAAAGAAGAGAAAAGGTGTAGGATACTGGCCAAATAATAATTCTAAGCCTTTATTGAGCATTTTCCCTGCGTCCAACATTGGACTAAGTGGTCAATGTGTATTTTTTAATTTTGTGGTAATTTAATGAGACAGGCATACATATTATTATTTCTATTTAATTGTGATATTCAGCTGTTACATATTGGAATGTTTAATACAGTCTTAATTTAACCGATTCTAAGATAGATGTAAAATTTGAGATTTTCCTTATCTAGGCAAAGGGAAGCAAACCTGTTAATATAGCTTCCTCCTGTAATTGTAGCAACTGTGAGATAAGTAAATATCAGAATAAATTTATTGCTGTGTTTAATGTGTATTTTGATTTCTTTGTTTTTTTTTTTTTAGTGAGTTGACAATCCCGACTGTAGTTGTACTGAATACTTCAAACCAGCAATACTTTTTGCTGGATAGACAGGTTAAGAACGCTGAAGACATGGTCCAGTTCATTACTAACATTTTGGATGGCACAGTAGAAGTAAGTTCTTCCTTTTCATTTTAGAGGGGCCCATCACATAATAGGAATTTTATGTTTGTGTGTGAAAACATAAAATTATTAAAATTAAACTCCTGTGTATGAGTGAGAACCCTTCTATTTGTAAGTTAGTGAAACTCATCTCCAACTATGTAACACCAAAGAGATTTTGTCGGCTTATAGAGCTTAGAAATTCAAGGAGTGACCAAGATTTCAGGGATGACTGAGCACAGGGGATTGATTGATTTTTATCATGAGTTTTTCCCTTTCTGCCTATACTTCCTTACTGAGCTTTATCCTCAGGGACACTCTCCCTGCACAATACTAAGGGTGTCCTGCAGCAGCTCTGGTTCCGCAAGCTCAACTAAATTCACAACCTAGGCAGGCCTGGACTCGGTGTGGGTCAGCTTCAGTCCAGCTGTACAGATTGGAGGAGACCTTCAGAGGAGAATAAGGGTGCATTAATACAGGAAGGCACGGCTTGGTGCCTGTGGCTCACGTGGCTAAGATGCCAGCCACATACACCTGAGCTGGCGGGTTCGAATCCAGCCCGGGCCTGCCAAACAACAATGATGGCTGCAACCAAAAAAAAGAAAAATAGCCAGGTGTTGTGGTAGGCGCTGGTAGTCCCAGCTACCTGGGAGGCAGAGGCAGGAGAATCGCTTGAACCCAGGAGTTGGAAGTTGCTGTGAACTATGATGTCACAACACTCTACCCAGGGTGACAGCTTGAGGCTCTGTCTCAAAAAAAAAAAAAAAAAAAAAACACAGGAAGGCAAAAGGGACAGGAAAATGTCAGTAAACATTTACTATACAGCCTTTTCAAGAGAATTATGTAATATTTTGAAATCAACCTTTGACCTGAAATTATAAGATTACATGACATAGGAAAATAACTAATACATTAGGGGTACTTAAATGACAATGTAATTTTTTTCCTATTTAATTGAAGGCCCAAGGAGGTGATAGCATTTTGCAGAGATTGAAAAGAATTTTATTTGATGCCAAATCTACGATTGTGGTAAGTTGTAACAATTTGTTTGTGCTGTTGTTAATTAAGAATGAATGTGTTCTTTATGTCTAACTGGTAAAATCTGAGTTCCAAAGGATTAGGTCAAAATATGTCTTTTTGATTTGCAGAATATAAACCAGTCAGTATTTACACTAAGAAAATATTTTCATCAGATGGAAATTAAGTTTACCTAATTATTCATTTTTTAATGATTGGTGACTTAACTGAAATTAAAAAGTAGAGATTTTACCTGAACTTATAAAGGTTTTACTTAATTTCATGGAAGTATAAGATATAGTGAAATTTTTAGTCCTAGTAATTTTTGACATTTTCTGTCTATGAATTAGTCATTTCTTTTGAAGAGAATGATGTGTCTTGGAAAATCATTCCTTTTTATTTTTGCAATAGTCAAAATAAAATTGTAACTGAAATCAATTAAAGTTTTAAATATCTCTGTTAATTCTTTACTTCCATAATTGGTGAATAATTGGAATCATTTATGGATGTTTTTCCTTCCCCTATTTCCTATCTTCCTTCTCTTCCTTTTTTTTTATTCTTTCTTTCATTCTTTCTTTAAAAGCAGACTTTAAATGTAGAAGAAAAATGTGATGGGTCACATTTTTTCCAGTAGTAATTTTGTTTTTTATTTGTTCCTCCCAGTGTTGATTTGCAAGTGTTCAGTGTGGGTAGAATATTAACAGTGGTGGATGCCTTGAATGGACACGCCTGCCCCTGATTATACTTTCATTGGGTTTTTTAATAATTATAGTTTCCTTCACTATCACCTCTCACCTGATTATCTCTGTTAGTCTTTTCTACTAACCAGATGCATAAAAAATGTTTAAAATGTCATGTAAAAACAGTATATATACATATACTTCATAAAAGTAACCTGGTATATATATATACATATTCTTCATAAAAGTAACCTAGCTATCTCCCAAGAATAGATTTCTGTAGTTCAGGAAATAATTCTAAAACTCACATAGTTACGATCCCAAAGAGACCTTTGTAGTGAATATGGAATAAATAGGTGTCCACAGAAATGGTTGTAGAATGTTTGCTACCTGTTTCTGCTGCCGAGAGCAAGTTCTGCACACACTCTGCTGTGTGCATGTGTGTACAATTTCTACCTCTTATAACGGTGGTTAAGGGTGGTTACCGCTGACATACTGTTTCGTTGGAACTCACAGCAAATTGAATAGTTGCAAGTGGAAGAAATCTGTAGTTGTTTTGAATTCACTTCATGTAAATGTGAGGGAACTGAGTTGTAATTATCGTTCCACAGTCTATTTTCAAGAGCTCACCGCTTATGGGCTGCTTTCTCTTTGGCCTGCCACTGGGTGTCATCAGCATCATGTGCTATGGAATCTACACAGCGGACACGGATGGTGGCTATATAGAAGAACGATACGAAGTGTCCCAAAGTGACATTGGAAGCCAGGAACAGATAGAAGAGAGCACAGAACAGCAGGAGCCCAGCCCTGGAGGAGGCCCCGTGCCTGCAGTGCAGGAGCCCAAGGATGTGTTAGAAAAGAAGAAAGACTGAGGCTGTTGCTGCTATAGAATATGTGATAGGATTTCAGATTACTAAAGAGCCTATTTATTGGATTTAGACCATTTAATCATGATCTTTACAGAAAAGGACATGTTACTTGTATTTTGCTAATATCAGCTGCATGGATTAAACTAGTCCTTCCATAAACAGGGAGACGTTTGGAGTGAATAGAGGAGCAGTTTGTCTGAAACACAATTGAAGCGCTCCATCAAAGCGAACCTGAGAGATGCTGCAGCAGACCGGATCTATCTGCATGTTTCTCTATCTGAATATTCTGTGAGGAAGTTAAGAGTCTTTGGCAGAATGTGTAAATTGGCCAGGCAGGTAGAAGAGACATGGTTGATGTGGGAAAATAATACCTCCACCTCCTACCGACCATTCTCATATATTTTGGACAAAATTTATATGGTTACAATTAAGTCTGTAAAATTAGGCACTTTAAAGAGACCTAGTAAATTTTTACATATATCAAATGAAGATTATGAGGTTAAAAATAATGCGGTTTTATATAGCATAGTGGTTTTATTTTGTTATTTTTAAAGGAGAGGAAATGTTACTTTTTATACTCTGTTGCATTATTATAATATAAAATTTTGATATGAGCTTGTATAGTGGGGAAAAAATAGTCTTGCGATTGACTTTTGAAAAATAAACAGGATTTACTGGGCACAGTGGTTTCAGGCCATGCCCTAGGAAACTCCTAAGACCTGTCCTGTGGCCACTGCAGTGAGAGGAGGGTCTCTGTTAACCCTACCCTGCTTTCGCCAGAATCACCTCATATTTTTGTTTTGTTTCATTTCCATTTTATATATTGAGATTTCTTCTAAAATTTCCTTTGATAAAAATCTGCTTTTTGAAAAGTAATATGTATCATATCTTTGTTTATGATAAACCTTGATAGCTGGTGGACCAGAATATACATGTGTATAGCTGGACCCATGCCCAAGATTTATGGACACATCTGCTGTGTAATGCTGGGGGTGTGTCCAAACAGTCAGAACCAATGAAGAGATTGGCAAGTAACCCATGTCTGTGAGTGATTTCTTATCTTCTATGTATAGTTAAATAATGTAGGAATTCATTCCCAAGTAATGTCTAAAAACTGGGGGAGGAGGTGGTTTAATAATAGGTTGAGGTTTTATTGTAAATTGTTATTTTTGAGGCCTTCATTTTAGCTAAGTTTAGAATTTTTATTAGGTAACTATTATTTGCATGGTTATTCATTGAGTAATTTAGTTACCTATTATAAAACATTCTATTGGAATGTAAAAAATGTTTAGTCATTTTAAAAGTTTATAATTCATGGTCCCGACACTGTTGGCCACTAGACTATTTCTAATGCCACATTCATCAGGACTAAATGAAATTACTAGTAATGGTTTTATTGTATCCATGTTCTCTTTTATTATTTAGTAACTAAATGCCTACTGTTTATGTTTGACACTCCATTATTATTGTTTTTTTTTTTTAATGAAACAAATATTCCATCAATGTATTTCAGGAAATACTAGAATGAAATATTCGAAAGTGGAAACTGGAGATAAATGCTATTAAATTAACAAGTAGAATGCTCCACAGAGAATAATAAAAGATTCTTTGGCGGAAGATAAATATTAATACTTCCAGTGGCAAAGCTTGTTTTGAAGTAGAATAAAGCTTAGGTATGTACAGGTGCCATGCAGTGAGGAAGTGAAAACTTAGCAGTTGGAGACATGAAGAAATAGTTAGAGAAAATGTCATTGATTATTTTTCTTCTTGTTTATCACTATCAGATGTTGGTCATATGAGTATTTTTGTCTTGTTGATCATCACCTGTAAATGAAAGACCTCAATAGGAAAAAAAAAGAGTAGAGCTCAACATCTGTGAGCGACCAGAATCCAGGGACCTTCCTCTGTGTTCCCTCGTGTCCTTTCCGAATGAGGGGCCCAGTTCTCCCTTAGCCTTTCACAGCCTTGTACTATGACTTCGTGTTCTGGTTTTAGTTTTAAAGTGTGTCTACTGGGAAAACAAAATATGTAGGTGGCTTATAAGGGAATAATTTTATTCCTTTTTATATTACAATTTTACTTTTATCTTTAATTTGGATGATTTTTATTTACATTGTTAGACTGCTTGCAAAACAAATTTTAAAATCTATTCACTAGTATGCTTTTCCCTTCTGTGTGGTAATAGAGCTTACTATGAACACTATTTTCATTTTAGGAAAAATTAGAGAGAGAGATCTTTTAATAATTGATTCTAGTGGCAGGACATAGGTATCATTCTGATTCCAGTGATGAGTCTTATGATTACATATTAGTAATGAGGTCCTTCAGGGAGCTGGAGTTCTCCCTTCTCTTTCTGTTAAAATGAAGTTCTATTTCTAACTTGTAAAATTAGAAATTCTATATTTTTGCTGTTGCTGAATCTGGTGCTCAAACAATATTTAAGGATTTTCAAAGAGGCAAAGTGCATTGTCTAAGTACTGGTACCCTATGCACCCCATTAGTTTCCAGTTCTTCTTGTTTCTTTCATTGTACACGTCAGTATTTTCCTAGCTACTATTATCTAGAACTTACTTGCGGTGCATTAGGCCTGGAGTTTTTATTTTCTTCCTCACACATACTGACTGCTCTCCGATGTCTGGTTTAGAAACCATATGCCGAATGTCTAGGAGTGGAAGGGTCTTATGTGAGTAGTTAAAACAGTTAGTTGTATTGTTTTATTTGGTAGATTATATTAATGACATTTCTAGTTTTTTGCTTTGGGGGCCTTTGTGGTTTTGGTTTTGCACAAAGTAATTTAAATATTTTTATCATTGTTTGATTTGATACGGAGGTAGGATAGGGGAAAAAAATCACTCAGCCATTTTTATCATGCAGAAATTGTGGTATCAATTAATTGGCGAGATTAGGTTTGCTGTTTTATTTTTATAAATATATATTTTTTTCTGAATGTGTTTGAGTCCAAGAGTGGGCAAAAACTAATTTTCTACTTTGGACTAATCTATAGAGGTTTTTGAAAGTCTGTATTACTAACTTGTTGAATTCCCAAGGTCCTGCCTTAGGGCACAAATTGTAAACCTTTGTTTTTCTAAAATAAAATATTTGAAAACCTGTCATTGTTATTGTTGCTTTCTATCTTTTGGTTGTTTTGTGATATGGATTGTTTTCTGCATAAACAGACAAAAGCTAAAACGGACATTCCTCAGCACTTTTGTTTCTTTCATTAAAATTTTCAAGTTATTAATAATTATAGAAACATAGGATTTTAGAGTTTAAACAAACTTGATCAGATTATAATCTGATTCCATTATATAATAGATGAAAAACCAGACAAGGGGTTCCTATATTTTATATTTATCAAACCTAATAATTTTTCAGTATTAATTTTTCCAAAAATGTATCTCACTCTCTTTACAGAGTATAGTTAGAAGAACTGCGTCTGAATCACAGAGTTCTAAATTAGAGTGTTGGCACTATCTTGACCCGTCACTTTTGTTGTTAATACTGGAGATTTAAAGCCTCAAGTTTATGTTGAAGCTTTTATCCTATCCCTAAGATATTCCACTTTACATATGCAAGTATACAAAACTCCATAAATATAAAAAAATCCTAAACACTTCTGGTTTGGAGCATTTTAGATAAGGGGTACTCAACTGGTACCGGCCCTTTGTTTTTAATTCTTACCAACAAATATATGGGTAGATCTTAATTTAAGCATTATGAGACAACAGAAATTTCAGGAAAGGTATAAAGCAATTTTGTAGAACACGTCCTTCAGTTCCTTAACCATTTCCTACTCGCATCGTGGGTCCCACTCTGTTATACACGCATGCGCACAGACACTCAGCCTCACGCACGCGCACAAACACTCAGCCTCACGCACGCACACTCAGCCTCACGCACGCGCACAGACACTCAGCCTCACGCACGCCTCCTTTCTATGTGCCTTTTCTTCTAAGAACATTCTATTCTCTTATTCCTGTGCCCTCACTTTTCATTTTCTTATCAAATCATTTATATATATAAAATAGTAAATTATATATTTCTCAAGGTCTTCATCAACTTTTTAAATACCGGGCTAATTTCTGTTTTCTAGAGACTCTGCATAAGCCTTTCGATGCAGAAGTATTATTATGTAGCCAGTATTATAATTTTCCATTTTGTGTGTGGTATCTGTCACCACACTAGAAGTTCTCTCAGAGTGTACACATGTCATTCACTGCTGTGTCATCTCCCCGGTGCAGTGCTCAGCACCTAAGGTATGCTCAATAAGTATTGCAGAATGAGTAAATAAATGAATGTCTGCTTATTCAAAATAAATAAAGCCTCAAGTTTATGTTTTGTTTCTGTTTGTTTAACAGCATTAAGTGTATTGTGGACAAGCAAACCTGTGTACAGAGGTTAATTTTTAATTTATTTTTCATATTTTTTACCAAGGGCATACCTTTTATTGGGAATAACTGGCCCAATACGTGGACCCACAAACCTGAGAACTTAAAGTAAGTTAGGAAGGGACACTTTTGGTAAGAGTGACAGAGCACATCCAGCCATTTGTAAACTCCTCGGGAGTACTGCAGAGGCGTCCTGCCCGCTCTGCTGAGTGGCTGTATTGTGTGTGTGCAGCCCTGGTGTCACCTTCGTGGAGTTCATACTTTTGCTCCATCATTTACCTGTGTATGGTCAAGTAAGGTCAAGTAACCCGCTTGACCTCTCTGCTCCCGAGTTGCCTGTAGTTTGAAGAGGAGTTCACTGATCTCATTAAATTAATTAGACGTGAAGCACGTGTGGACCAATGACTGGCACATAGTACCTGGTCAAGTATGAATTCTAGCGTCAGATTTTTTTATTTCTGTAAATTTATTTGGTGCAAATGTAATTTTGTTACACTGATACATTGCATAGTGGTAAAGCCAGGGCTTTTAGTGATTTCAACATGCAAATTACGTACGTTGTACCCGTACCCATGAAGTAATTTCCTGTTATCTACCCCTCAGGTCCCCACGCGTCTAAGCCTCCACTGTCCACGTTCCGCACTCTCCATCTGTCTGTACACGTTGCTCAGCTCCCCTTAGAAGAACATGTGGTATTCGTCTTTCTGTGTCTGGTGTCTGAGTCGCTTTGTCCATGTTGCTGCCCAAGATGTGATTTCATTCTCATTTTGTGGCCAAATAGTATTCCACTGTGCATATAAACCACATTTTCTTTGTCCAGTCCTTCACTGATGGGCACGTACCGTAAGTCTGTGTCTTTGCTGTTGTGAATAGTGCTGTGACACAGGAGAGCAGTATCCTACCGAGACGTTGATTGTGTTTTCTTTAGGTAGGTACCCAGTAGTGGGATGACTGCATCAAATGGTAGGGCTGTTTTGAGGTCTTTGAGACCTGAACATACTGTTTCTTACAGAGGGTGTACTAATTTACATCCCCACCAACAATATACAAGCATTCTCCTTCTCCACATCCTCACCAACATTTGCTACTTCTTGTCTTTGATACTCGTCACTCTGACTGGTGTGCGGGGGGAATCTCACGGTGTTTCAGTTTGCATTGCTGGTGTGATTAGCGCTGTGGATTCTTTTCGCCACATGCTTGTTGGACATCAGCCTGCCTTCTTTTGAAAAGTGTCTATTTATGTCCTTCGCCCACTTTATAAAGGGATTCTTAGGTTTCGTCATGGACTTGTCTGCATTCCTTATATATTCTGTATATTATTTCCCTGTCAGATAAGAGATTTGCAAATATTTTCTCCCATTCTACGGATTGTTTACTCTTTTGATTATTTCTTTCTCTACACAGAGACTTTAATTCCCATTTGTCTATTTTTGGTTTTGCTGCCTGAGCATTGGAGGTCTCTGTCATATTGTCCAAAAGAGTTCTCTCTAGGTTTGTTCTGCTATTTTCACAGTTTCTCGTCTTACATGTAACTCTTTCATCTACCTTAAGTTGTTTGTGTATGGTGAGGGATAGGAGTCCAGTTTCATTCTTCCTCGCATGGCAATTTAATTATCCTGGCGCCTGCTATTCAAAAATGTCCTCTCCCTAGTGTACCTTCTTGTCTTTGTAAAAGATCATACTTCCAAGAAGTTGAAAAGAAAATTCTTCATTTCATACAGAACCAGAAAGAAAAAATAAATGGCCAAAGCAACTCTAACAAATAAAAACAAATCTGGAAGCATCACGTTACCAGACTTCAGGTTATACTACTACATATAACTACTATATATACTATAGTGATCCCAACAGTATGGTACTGGCCTAAAAATAGAGACACAGGTCCATGAACAGAGCAGAAAACCTAGAGATGGAACTCACCCCGTCTCACCATCTGATCTTCGATAAACCAAACAAAAGCATATATTGGGGAAAAGAATCTCTATTTAACAAATGGTGCTGGGAGAACTGGTTAGCCACATGTAGAAGACTGAAACTGGACCCACACCTCTCACCACTTAAAAAAATTGAGACCCGGGTGGTGCCTGTGGCTCATTGGGTAGGGCACTGGCCTCATATACCGAGGGTGGCAGGTTCAAACTTGGCCCCGGCCAAACTGCAACAACAAGAAGAACAAAAATTGCCAGGCATTGTGGCAGGCACCTGTAGTCCCAGCTACTCAGGAGGCTGAGAAGTTGGAGGTTGCTGTGAGCTGTGTGATACCACAGTTCTCTATTAAGGCCGATAAAGTGAGACTCTGTCTCTACCAAAAAAAAAAAAAAGAAAGAAAGAAAGAAAGAAAAGAAAAGAAAAAAAAAATGATGCCAGCTGGATAAAAGACATACATATAAGACACAAAATGATAAAACTCTGGAAGAAAATGTGGCTGTATAGTATTTTATTAATGGGAACACCTTTGAATGCCAGTGCTTTGGTGATATACTTAATAATTTCAATATGAATTCACTGATTTTACAGTATGAGTATATAAATGTCACAGTCTCTTAATTATAGATTATAAAATTACAGTGTAATTTTATGTATTACATAAAATCTAGCACATAAAACATTTGGATGGACTGCTGACCGTTGTTGAATATTGGGTCAGTTAAATCTATATAATGTTCATATGTAATTAATCACTGATGTACAAATGGA